AAATCAGCCCGTCGGGAACAACCAATGAAGAGGGGAAGGAAAAAACGAAAGCAAAAAATACGTTCACTTTGATTGCTAGCCGCACACAAGTATGAACCCTTCTCCGAGGAGAGAGGAGAGAGGAAAGAGCACAACACCCAAAAAATACAATGACGGCTCACGTGTTTGATCTCTCACTGTTAAATCAGCCTGTCGGGAACAACCAATGAAGAGGGGAAGGAAACCATAAAACGAAAGCAAAAAGGATATTTGTGTTTGGAAGGAAATGCACATAATTGAAGAAGTCGCCTATACATCGTTTTCCTTTTTTTTAGTTGTGCTGCCGTTGTGGCTCCGATTGCTCTGGAAGGTAATTCCCGCGGTCCACCCTAAATCTTGTCCGCTCTACGGAAAAGACGAACGGTTATGCAGTGACGTTGTTTTGCGGTTCTGGCGCCGACTCGAGTGTCTGCTGCATTTCCGGGTTTGCCTTTTTCGCCCTGCTGCCTTCGGGGTGGATGTCCTCCCATCGGTGAAGGAAGAAGAGCTCGATGATGGAGCAGAGGAGGCCGACGCAGCCGAAGAAGATGAAGGCAACTGCTTGTCCCTTGTCCTGGTTGGCGGAAGGGCCCCCCGAAACCCTTTCCACCGCAATAGGGAAACAGAGGTTTATAATGAGGTTGAACAGAAACTGCACCAGCATGACGAAGGAGGCACCTTTGGGGCGGAACGAAGGCGGGAATATGTCCTGTGTTAGCACGCCAAAACACCCAGCAAGGCCAATTTCAAACGAGAGAACAAAAATGACAATTCCGGTGATGGCAACACCATTCCTCACAGTGGAGGCCGCAACGCCGGGGTACACGGGAACGCCGCACAACAACAAGCACGAGATGGATGAGGCGAAGGAGCCGAAGAGAAACATTTGTCGCACTGTAAACCAATTTGAGAGCAAGATGGGGGCGAAGGAGCTCAAAAAGTTCCACAGCATCACCAAAAAGTTACCGAGCAGCGACTCCACACCGAAGCGACTCATGATAGTTGGTGCGTAGTTCATGACAGCGTTGATGCCAGTCAGCTGTGCCGACCCTGCAATCACCAGACCGAGTGCCAACCTGCCTGACATCTGGAGCAAACTGTACTCGTCCGCATTCAGGATTTTCGCCTTAATCTTAATAAACTCTTTGAACTGCACCTTGCTTACCGGAAGAAAAATGCCAGAGACCGTCATGCACGTTGAAAGAAGCGTGGAAACCGCACAAATCGCATGCATGCGTCCGCCAAGATTCGCATCTTTTTTGTAATCTATGCTGCGGCCCACTGCCAGTCCCATCACCGCAGCAAGTAGGATACCGAACGTGGTAAACAAACCCAGGGAAACCCCAAGCTTGTGATAGTGTTTGCGAATTGCATTCTGGTCCAGGTACATCACGCCAGCCACGTAAACGGTGCTAATAGTAAGTCCAATCAGCAAGCGTCCGACACACAGCACCCAGAACTCATTACAATGCACGGATACATGGTACATAACCGACGAAACCACGGCGATTAAGCCGCCCACAGTAAAAGTCATGTTGTGACCAGCCACAACAACAAACTTTCCACAGTACATGGAGCCCAACATTGCGCCCAGGATCATCGCTGAGGCAAAGATGCCATTCTCTGTAGGGGTATACCCTCTGAGGTTGTTGCATTCCTTATCAGCGTAAACCCAGCTGCACCGTGAATCGGCCTTACAAGCAGCTTCTGCGACTGCGGGATTTAACGGGTCTGTCGGGTAGGCCTTACCGCAAGTAAAATATCTCCACCCACACTGGCTCGCCTTCACATCCCACTGACACTCGGCGTTCAAAACAGTGATGCAGGCATCCTCGCTCTTGTACAGGGAACAGTCTGTTGAGGTCAGGTAGAGAAAGGCGTAGATGGGGACAAGACCTATGGTGTAACCATTCAGCATACCTCCAATAAGGCAAATTTGAAAAACCTTCATGTTCTGAAGTGAAAGGAATCCGGGTACCTTTTCCACCTCCGTGTGCTCAGCGGGATTCTCGTGCGGCGAAACTGCCGCGCCCGCTGGAAGCTGCCCGTCATCCCCCTGCTGCTTTTCCATCTGCACGTTATCCACAGCTTGAGGGTTCTGCTCAGTCATTCTGTGCCGGAATTTCACCTTACTGACTTCCTTCTGGCCGTCAACGCCGTTGTTGGAAACACACAAACACACACGTATTCTTCCAAAAGATCAATAAGAGAGACATGGCAGTGGCGACAGCGCTGGTCACAACGGACGTAATCACGACAACTTCCATTCTCAGAACGTCAAAAGGAAGAAAGCGGCTTTAGCTGAACCAACACACCGAAAGGTCATAAAAAAGGAAACAAAACCAAACAAAAAGAAGTTTTTTTTTCTCAACTGCATTACAACGACAACAAGCTGTGATGTGAAAACGCTCACAGTGTCCACCAGTT